AGGGCTAGCCTCCCACTAGTTCGAATTAAGTGGCTACACAGCCCTTAATTCGAACTACTTAATTCGAACTAGGCGTTAGTCCTCATAGAATGAGGTTTACCTAGTTCGAATTAAGCACTCCGCTAGTTCGAATTAAGTTCGAACTAGCAGTTTGCCTGTGTAGCGCCTATGAAAGTTAATTCGAACTAACGGCTGTTAGTTCGAATTAACTTTGTAATGTAGACATACCCTAAGGTGCTACTGAGCTACTTGTTGTGTTTTAAGGTTACAGATTTACATGGCTACTCCCTGAGACTTTTATTATTCCAAGGTTAATCTTGCTAGAGAATCCAGAACAGTTCTCATGTACAACACTATTATTTTTTCCCTTTATGTCTTTGAGGATTTAGATACCAAGACAATTTTTCCTGCAAAGTCTTCTCTCTAGAGCAGCACATTTCTCACGCAGTTCTTTCTCCCTCGTCAACAAGAATGTGAGGACTTTGTTGCGTACTATGCCTCTGTCTTCTTCTTCCCTCAGCCGTTGCTCTACATTGTTGCTTCTGGTTTCCAGGCTTATTACCACCTCTGTCATGTGGCTGAGGGTGCCTTCCATTCTACAGATCACCCCCGTGACCTCTCGCTTGAAATCCTTCATGTCCCTCTGCACATTTTTCAGTTCTTGCCTCAGTTTACCCATGTCTGATGCATGCTGGCTGATCATGGCTGATGCCATTGTCGAGAGGAGGCATCCAGCTTGAGGGTGATTTCTCTCCTCTTTTTTACTTGTCAGCATGTCCCTGGTCATCGGAATAGTCTTTTCTTTACACAGGGCCACTGTGTGCGTCTCAAAGAATGAGTGGATCTGGTTTGCCATCTCCAGCAGCAGGGTGGATAGCAGTTGTAATTCAGTGATATCAGAAGCGACTCCCTCAAGCTAATATGTCCTCCATCACATTCCCAGAAGTCCTGCTCTCCAGGCAATGGTGGAGGACAGGTGGACCAAGGCATGGGATTGTGACCTCAGGGGTAATTCAGCCAATTGTAACACTGGTGGCAATAGTTCATTTGCAGCCTGCAGGCCTGATGAGCAAAACACTGTTAAACTGGGAGCCAGAGACTGATGCCAGATACATACAGTGGTATAAACCCAAATTAGTGGAATTACTCTTAATAACATAAGAATGGCCGTACTGGGTCAGACCAAAGGACCTTCTAGCCCCGTAGCCTGTCTGCCGACAGTGGCCAACACCAGGTGCCCCAGAGAGGGTGGACCGAAGACAATGATCAAGCGATTTGTCTCTTGCCATCCTTCTCCAGCCTCTGACAAACAGAGGCCAGGGACACCATTCCTAGCCCCTGGCTAATAGCCTTTTATGGACCTAACCTCCATGAAGTTATCTAGCTTCTCTTTAAACTCTGTTATAGTCCTAGCCTTCACAGCCTCCTCTGGCAAGGAGTTCCACAGGTTGACTACACACTGTGTGAAGAAGAACTTTCTTTTATTAGTTTTAAACCTGCTACCCATTAACTTCATTTGGTGTCCTCTAGTTCTTCTATTACGGGAACTAATAAATAACTTTTCTTTATTCACCCTCTCCACACCACTCATGATTTTATAGACCGCTATCATATCCCTTCTCAGTCTCCTCTTTTCTAAACTGAAAAGTCCCAGTCGTTTTAACCTCTCTTCATATGGGACCCGTTCCAAACCCCTAATCTTGATTGTGCACAAATCAGAATCCCACCTTGTTTCTTTAAAGCACCATATTCCCCTATGATGCTGTAGGTGCATTATCAGAGAATCATAGAAAGAACACGCAGATCACACCGATTAGATTTTACGGGCTACCTCCTATAGGTGTAGATCGTTCTCTACAGCACATTTCCTAGTGTTTTGTCCAGTTTAATTTTAAAACAACCAAGCAACAGGCTTTCCACCAATTCCCTAAGGACTATTCCACAGCCTAATACATCTCATGGCCAAAAATTTCTTGATACTGAGTCTAAATATTCTTTTCTTCGAATATGGCTAGACTGCGGGGGTTTTGTATCCTGAAAAAACGTCTCCATATCCAGGGAACGTGTTTGCTCTTCTGCTTTTTATTTTTTTTTATTTTTATTTTTTTTGCAGAAGAGCAAACACTCTCTTTCAGAAGCCCCTGTATTCCTCATTCTACAAGGATGAAGGGGGCTCCGAAAGAAGGGGTTTTTCTGACATTTGGCCCAGTCTAGATGGGCCAAATGTTGGAAAAGCCTCTTCCAACAAAAGAATTGGAAAATTGGCATTTTACGTACCTTTTTCTGACAAAAACTTGTAGTCTAGTAGAATCCCAATTAGTTTCAACCCATTAGGCCTATCACACTAAGCTATTCCTAGTGACGGATGGCAGAACAAGGAGCAATGGTCACAAGTTACAGTAGAGGAGGTCTAGGTTGGAAATTAGGAAAAACTATTTCTCTAGGAGGGTGGTGAAGCACTGGGATGGGTTACGTAGGGAGGTGGTGGAATCTCCATCCCTAGAGGTTTTTAAGTCTCAGCTTGACAAAGCCCTGGCTGGGTTGATTTAGCTGGGATTGGACAGGGGGCTGGACTTAATGACCTCCTGAGGTCTCTTCTAGCTCTATGATTCTATGATTCCCCTGTCTTATTGGTGAGAGGAATAACAATAATAGTGCTGAGTTTTGCTTCTGCTTGGAAAGTCTAATCCCACAGCTATCCCCATTCAATTTAGTCCTCTCATTACAGCATGGCTATGTACCTCTGATTTTGTGTACAAGTTTGTGCATAAGATTTTGGGTTCTGAACCTCAATTTTGTGTAAGTCTTGGGTGACACCAAAAGCTTTAGTAAGCTCAAGTGAAGGTGCACTAAGCGATCTCAAATGAAAGGAACACAAAAGCATTTGGGAATGAAATGGCATTTCCTGAAATCAGAGTTCATAAAATAGGAGTTTAACCTGTATAATCCTCTGAGAACATTAGCATCTTGCACCAGAACATAATAAAAGTCTCAGAGGGGTAGCCATGTTAGTCTGTAACTTAAAACAAATTAAAAAACAATGAGTGGTCCTGTAGCACCTTAGAGACTAGCAAAAATATGTATATAGTATCACAAGCTTTTGTGGGCACAACTCACTTCTTCAGAGGAGTGGAGCTAAAGGCACAGAAACCCCAAAATTCAAAGCAGAAAAAGAAAGGAAGAGGATGGGAGAAAAACAAACAAACAAAAACCTCGTCGATTATATGGGCACTACAATTGACAGGGCTTGGGGTTTTGTTGCATTTTCCTTCCTCCTCTCCCCTCTTTTTCTGCTGGGGTTCCTGTGCCTTTTGCTCCACTCCTCTGAAGAAGTGGCTTGTGCCCATGAAAGCCCATGATACTATATATATATATACATACAGGGCTCGACAAATAATGCAACCCATGGCAAGTAGATTGCAACCTGGAAGAGCTGGGTTCGGGTGATCTGCGCATGTGCAGAAAGATTTGCGCATGCGCAGATCGCCGGACAGTGCTGCTGGCAAGTGGGGCTTGCCATGGTTCGGCGAGCCCTGTATATATATATATA